TACTTAATTTTGTTTAAATTTTCTCAATTTGTGGATAATCTACAATAATTTCTGAATCCCATATTAGGCCTGTGAGCTCAGGATGTAAACTAATGCTAATAGTCCCTGCCCCTGAGAAAAACGTAATTAGGTCAGTTAAATCCACTGAAAAAGGTCCATGCAAGCTGTTCAATTCTTTGTTTAGCCTGGATAATTAAGGCTTGACCTCTACGTGAGAGTCCTCAGAATTCTGGCTAAGTACAGTTGAACCAGACATGCCACCTACTGGGAAAAGCAACCTGGAGAAAATAGGGCAACAATTAAAAGGAGAGTGGATAGTGGTTGATGGTTGCACAACAATGAAAATGTACTTAATGCCACTGAACTGTACGTTTAAAATGGTTAAAGTGATAAATTTTATGTTATATACACTTGATCACAATTTTTAAAAATAATAACTAGCATTAAAAAGTGTTAGAGACAAAGAAGAAATTAATACTGTTATATTCATATTCGTATTATTTTTGCTAATGTTAATATTAATAATCGATGCCCATATAGTTCTTCCTAGGTGCCAAGTACTATTCTAGGCATTTTACCTAGAAATATAGGCTTTGTTACTGTTTCCCTCAGACCACTCACAAAATAAAAGTTTTATTTACATTTTTGTCTGTCACGTCTATAAACAAGGTTGCCACATTTCAGACTTTCAGAAAGCCTTTTAGTCAGCAAGGAGGAACTTCAATACAAGGTAGGTGAAATAAATAAAATGGTAAAGCCATTACCAAATTTGGTGATGATAAAAAGCATGAGGATATGAAATTACCTGTACATCATTCCCGAGACATTGAAAAGCTACCCCTCGGTGTAAAACATGAAAGTGCAGATGAACTGGAGGTGGTTTACAAGTGGACCAGTGGTAAAACAAAACAAAACCATCACATAAGCATTTTGCAATCTTGCAATTGTCCAAACATCCCCTGTAATTGTCTCATCTCTCTATTAGTCAATTTCCCATCTTCTCCACTCTCCAGTGCCATTTTCCTATCACCCCAAGCAAGCCAGAACCCTGTCCCATGTGAGCATCTTCCATAACATTTCCAAAGGCAACCCGCTTATAATCTGGTCAACACCATCTATCATTCACAGTTTGCAGATTAGAGACATGTTTTATATCTGTGTGTGTCCCTTACCCCCCGCCTCGGATTGTTGGGTCCATCCAGGGTAACTGCTGCTGTTATTATTTTTGACTTGGCAAACACACTGAATCTGTGGACAGGTTGGAGGAGATGGAGGGAGGGGTGTGGGTAAGTCATTATCAGACTGTACAGAGAGAGAAGGGAGAAGAAGTAGGTACATCAGGGAAAACTTAATAGGAGTCTGAGCATAAAGCTCTTACACTTCCCTGGTTTTCATTGACCCTTTTCCCAATCCTCTCCTTGGGTATTCTGCACAGCTTTCCTTCACATACGTCCACCATCCTCTTCAAATCATCTAGGTCAAATCTTCTGCTCCAAAAGCTTTTGCAATCTGACTCCATCCCACATGGGCTATTCCTGTCTTTTTACTACTTTGGGTGTAATCTGTTAGACTTACTAGGTTCATAGTCTCTGATTGCTTATTATGTTTATCTTCTCTATTCAATTAGATGATATATTTGAAGGGCCAGAGAAATGTCTTTGATTTCCTTTATATACTTCCCCTACAATACCTATCATAGTGCTTTTTTGTGTAGCGAGAATGAGCTTAATACTTTTTAAAAAACAAATTAAAATGATGTATATCTAGGGAGGTTAATATTAAGTTTTCTTTACATCTACCAAATGCAAAATAGATGCATGTGTTTTGGTGGAGACAGTTTATATAAACCAGAGATATCAAAATCTTAAAGCTCTATAATCTCTCCCAACACAGGAAATATCTGGATATGAAAAGCCTTTTTGTTATCTGGATGATAACCATGTAAATGTCACTCCACACACGGTCATTTTATCTATGTCCCACGGCATTCCCTATCTCTAGGTTATGAGAATATAAGAACTTGGGAGAACTAGGCATTCGGAATTTTCTGTAAGATACCTCTCTATTAGGAAAAAAAAAAAACCAAGAAAAATGATAACATGGAATTTTCAGATATGTTTAAGTATGCGTTAAGTCGACTGCATTAGTGCATGTGCCAGTTATAGAAACAAAATCCACTGCCCTGTGAATTGCTCCTTCTTTGTCTATCCAGAGAAGTAAATAGTGAAACATTTGTGACTCTTGGAAGGATCCAAGATATTTGGCTAATGGTTTTTGCCTGAGTTTGCCATAGTGGTCCTGAACCCAAAATATGGTGATTATTCAAAATTATTCTAAAACCTGGCATGAAGTTTATTACTTCTTTTAACAACTTTAAAAAGATCCTGGAGAGATGACCTCATATTTCTTCTCACCCTTTCATATTTGTGACATGTTCTCAGCTACACTTTTCCAACTTTGAATGGGGATAACTGTTTAGGATTTTAAGATTTTATCTGTTGGTTTCTCCTTCCAAGTCATAATTGCACTGTGAGTCATTTAACTGCTTTGCATAGCAACTAGTTATGATATAACAAATATTGGATTATGTTATGTCACTGGAAGATATACTATGTGATACACAGTTGTGATTTCAACTAAGTGACTTCAAAGAGAAGAATAAAAAGTGGAAATGCTTTTTATTTCAAAATAAGAGAAGTTTTAATATTTCTACATGGCATCAGATATAGCCCAAACATCTCACTGATACCCAAACAAGTATTTTCCAGATCAATTAATAGGTATCTCATGTCTACCTGTCTGGGGCAGGATGAATTATAAGCATTATAATTTCTATTTTATGGAAGAGAAACCAGCCTGAAAGAGAGGCTGGGGGTATGATCATCTGGTTTCTGGTTTTATTTCTGACACTAACAAGCCAAGCCTTGTTTAATCTTGAGGGCCTTATTTTTCTCACACATAGGATAATGAAGTTGGATGTTATGCTTCACTCACATCTATTACCTTGCCTATAACTCCACATGGTTTTCTTGCCTATATTATACCTCAGTTAGATTCTAGATCAAGAGAGATTTTGTCCAATTCTGCAATAGAGAGACCCAGACTAGCTGCATAATTTTGGGGGCTCATTACAAAATCTTGGATGAAATCTTGGATTTCTTGTTAAAAATTATTAAGGATTTCAAGATGGTGACAGCAGAGTATTAAACTAAGCATGGGAATGAACAGATTGCACATCTATGAGGCTGGCCCTGGAGAGAACAAAGGAATGTTTGCTTTATCTTCAGACATTCTTTTGTTTTTAATAGAATGAAAATCTTAGAAATGTTGGTGGAACAATGACATGAGCCATGAAAAGGAATAAATAATGGGAATACAAATATTAGAAAGCCAATGTTTTGTGGATATTTGAAATTCTCATATATATTCACAGGTCTCACCCTACCTATAGGTGCAATAGGTGAACTCTGGTAGTTAGTTTTTAAAGATGTTCCCAATGAACTATGCCTCCTGGCATACATGCCCTATGTCATTCCCTTCTACATTGAATCTAGGCTGGCCTGTACCTTGTATTAAGCAACAGAATGCAGCAGCAGTAAAGCTGTACCAGTTGTGGGCCTAGCTTTTGAAAGTACTGGCAGCTGCTTCTTCCTACCTCTTGAACACTTGCTTTTGGGAGGCTGAACAACCACATACAAAGTCACCCTGTTGGAGATATCAAGTGGATAGACCATGTAGAAAAGCCATATAGTGGAAGAGGACCAGCTGTCTCATTATTCAGTTATGCCTCCAGATGACTCTGGATGTGGCCATTGTCCGACTGTAACCTCATGAGAGACCCTAAAGGAAGCCAGCAATAAAAACCACTCAGCTGAGCCAAGTTAACCCATAGAAGCATAAAAGATGATGAATTTGCTAATGTGTCTGTCTTAAAGTTATTTTTAAAATTTATGTTTTAGTTGAAAAATAAAAATTTATATATTTATGGTATATATGTTTTGATATATGTACTTATTGTGGGATGATTAATTCAAGCTAATTAACATATGCCTCACCTCACGTAACAATTTTTGTGGTTTTAAACACTCAGTGTTGGGGTGGTTTATTTCAAAAATATAGATAACCTCAACAGTGACTGTCTATCCCATGTGACTTTAAGGAGGCCAGTTCCACAATGTCTGTGGGACCACTGGATGCCAAGTTCCCGGGGAAGAGAGTGATGACAGGGGAAGTTGCTGGGGGAAGAGAGAGGAGGAGGTTGAGGCCTCAGAGAGAAAGGCACTGAAAGAAATCTTCAACTGCTTACCAATTTGGCCAGCGGTCTATTCTAGCAGGAATAGCTGCACTTGGACCAAAAGATCCAATGTTCTGTTTTACAGTTGTAGCTTTCCCTTAGGTGAACTGCGTGCTGTGTAGTGCCAGCTAGAATGAAGCCAATGTTACTTGCTCAGTTCTCCCTTGGTTATTTTGGTTCTGTTCCACATCTAATGACCACTAACCTTGAACATCAATTTGTGCAATCAGTCCCAAGGGGGACCAGGATAGATTCACAACTTCAATGGCACTACTGAAAATGTGCTTGTCTTTTTCTTTACTCATGGAGAGTAAGAAGAATCATTGTCATCAAGGAAAGACAGGGCATTTTAGGCACTTACTTCATATGGTAAGATTGTTTTTCTACCCACTGTCAAGAAAAACCATTTAAAAGTATTGTCTTTGTTTCCTTTGCTCTTAAATCATACTTCTTTTAAAGAAAAATGTAGGAATAAAAGTTATCCAGGTCTATAAATGGTTTTCGAAAGTATCTATTTTATTAATGTGTACAGGATTTTAAAGAGCTATAATGAAGCATGTTATGACTTTATATAGCATTTTTAATCATTGTGAAAGATAAGCCATTTTCTTGTTTGTTCTTGATATTTTCCCATCTGTATTCAAATTAATGCAGAAATATAGCCACCATCTCATTTAATGGTAGCAAGGAGTTATATTACAGAAGTTTCTTATAAAATTTTATTCTCTAATAGAAAAAAGAGAAATAGTAGAAAATTGTTAACATTTAAAATAGCCATAAAACACATTGCCACTCTAAATGGTTTGATGTCTTAAAGATTCTTTCCGGTGCTTATGAATATTCAATTCTAGTAAATATCACAGCCAAAGAGTTCCAGGCGAAGTGCAATACTTTGATTCCATGTTTTAGGAATGATGCGGATAAACCTAGAAATGATTGGGGGGTTGAAAATGTTCTTCACGTGTCCTTTGGTATTACTATTTCCTTCGAAAATCTGGAAGCAAAATAATGGGGAAAAATATTTAATGCCAGCATAAGTGGGTATGAAAATCTTAGATAATTTTTTACCCTTTTAGCTCAAACAGAGGGCATCAGGGAACACATACAACACTATCACAGAGGTGGTCCTCAGTTATGAAGGCACATGCCAGATAGACCATTTTAGGGATTTCATCCCACCAGTGCTCTCAACCAAGTTAGAGAACAATAAGTAAATCTGCCACGATGCTTTGGAGCAGCTGCCAAGCCATCTCTGCCCCTAGTCCCTTTGTAGCTATGTGACTTTGCCGCAATTACTTATATTCTCTGATTCTCCAGTTCCTCACTGGCAAAACAAAGACAACAAAATTTTACGTCACAGAAATTTTAAAGGTGTATGTAAACATATGACGAGGTAGTGGCCACCAAGAAATGGTTAACTATCACTGTCATTTAAAATGTGGCCTTGCATTTTTATTTATTTATTTAGGCATATACATTATATTCTTAACTGTTTTATGCGTTTTTTCCTCCAGCCTCAGCAAGTTCCCCAGGATTTACACACAGCAGAAGCAAAATCACTATTTATTTATGACAATGACCCTCACCCTGCTATGAAGACAACGTGGCATAGTGAGCAATAAAACAAACCAAAACAGACAGCCCAGGAGTTTAAAAAGCTGAGGGTCGGGTTCAAATGTATTAACTGAGGTAAGTGCTGAGCATTTGATGAGAATTCAGAAAATACCAGTTTCCTTCTCTGTTGCCTCTCCTACTGGCTTTAGCACAATTCTCATTCCTGGAATACTAGGCACATCGCCTTAGCTTTGCCTCTGGCAGTATTTTTAACCACATCGCTAGGAAGTAGAATTATTTAGGAATGTAAGGGAGTAGTTCATTTTGCAGAAAATCTAGTCTCCTCATCGGTAAAGACACTAATTGTTTTCTGTTTAATAACAATATGACACAGAAAGATTTATGGCCTTGGATTTGCCCAGTTCACGAATAACAAGTATATGTAAGGCAATGCCAACAGGGTATCATTTCACATAACCTCTTCTGGATCCCTTCACTATCTTTCTCAATTAGAGCTAATTAAGCTTTGCAACATCCCCTAGTGTTTTGTCCTAACTATTTCATGGGTGGCATGGTCCTTGTCCCAAGACCAGGCACCCGAAGAACTAGGATTTAGAAGACTTAAAGAGTTGACATAGGTCAGTACATATTTGTCGAATGAAAGGTATTGTTATTTTCATCATAGCACAGTTTTTGAATTGCTTTCTCTTTGCCAAGATGCCACTCTACCTTGTCCACCATGGAGGATTTCTGCCTGTAAGGTTTCCATTCCACTCCCTGGTCACTGTAGTGGATGGTGTAGCTCTTCACATACATTTCAGAGGACAGAGACTTGCAGCCTTGTGTTATCATTGCAGTTATCTTCTTGATTTTGAGTAGATCAATTTGTAACCACTGTTTGTTGTTGTTTGCCTGTGAAAATGACAAAAACACATGGATAAGAAGGATGTTAAAACCTTTGCTTTTTTTTTTTTTCCACCAAGATACTCAGAAATCTACAGAGCTCAAAAGGATTTTGTTTGTCTCATTCCTTAGGATTCACTGTCTCCTAGAAACTTTGCATTTCTTGTTTTTTGCCACAGCATGTGTATAAATTTCTGTTGCAGTATTTCAAACACCACACACAATTATTTGTTGTTTGTATCCCTTACTGTGTGAGGGCAGAGGTTTACTTAGTTTCACTTCCTGGTATTCACCGCAATGCAAGGCACATAGTTGGTGTTCAGTAAATACTTGTTAAATGAATGAACGAATTTATTTGGAAAAATTATTGAAGTACTAAATTATCTATAAATATTATTCTCTTAAGCAAGTTTGTTTATATACTGTGATGATATTACTGCAGGGTTATCTGGGAAAGATATGGATAGCATTCTCTCTCTATTTAACTTATTTTAGAAAAGCTCAACTTCTCTTTTCTATCTCCTGCTAATGTCAAATAGCAAATATAGTCCAATTTCTTCTTTTGTGATATTTCAAATAAGTGTGATATTTGAGAGACCTGTTAAAGCCATAGTAGAGGCTTGATGCACAGAAGTTGTCCTGTCTCTGGCCTAACAAAATGCCAATCACATGTTTGGTGATATATAGTTGGAGAAAGAAGACCAGAAAGACTACCTGAGTTTTGAGTAATCTGAGATAAATTCTCACCTTTGGGAGATTTATCATGTCCCATAGTTTCATTCACTTCTATATGAAACGAGTAGTTTCTCAATATCACCCATATGTGCATGAGTGTATGTGTATATATGCATACACATATGTATATATTCATATAATATATGTATTTTTAAAGCAAATTAATTGAATTAAAATGGTTGTATTAGAAAATTTAATCTGTAATATCCTGTAGCAAGATCTGGGTGGTGTCTCAGTGTATCTTCAAATCAAGGTTGCACCAGTGATACAGGGTATATAAAGGCTGTCTGGAAAGTATCCAGCTATTGTTAATATAACAAAGACAGTTATGTGGCTGGATACTTTCCGGACAACCCTTGTAGGTAGCTAAAGGATTTTTGTAGGCATAAAAGAGGTAGAGCCGCTTTAGTTGTAAAGACATGGACATAAGTATGTGTGCCTTATGTGTCTGGCTTCAATTTTCAGCCTCTCTGAAGAGACCCTATAAAGATATTTCATGTGAATGAAAGACTAAACGAAACAAATATTTCTAACTCAGAATATCAAATTTAAAATGACAGCATTAAACATTAAAATTAGCGTTTCATCTTTGGGGCCTTTATTACATTGCAAAGACTAAGAGCAAATTATATGGAGAGCAAATACTTTTAAAGATTATAAAATAAAGGGTGTGGTGACAAGGTTAAACCATGAACAGGTCTAAAGAGCATCTGAAAAAAATTAGATGTTATAAAGTATATAAACATAATGTAATATAACATTATTATTTTTATTATTTTAACTAGGTATCAGTTTTTCCCCTCTGCAAAATTACAAAATGAGGTGTTTGGGCTGCTTCAAATGGAGGAAGGAACCATTGGCCTGTTTACTGGGAGAATGAGATTCCAGTTCTGATTCTGCTACCAGACTAAGGTAAAATTACTTACTCTCCTGTGTATTTAGACATAAAAGGAAACGTCTGGACCAGATGGATTGCTACTTAGTACTCTAACATTCTGTGATTCTGTGATGGGCCAGAATGAGTTTTGAGGCGCAGACATTCGTTCTCAAGATTGTCTGTTTGGGGTCCAAGCTTTCCTTTTTATCCCATTAGCACCACAATTCTTTTTTCCTTTCTGGTGGCCTACTTTAAAGATAGGTCCTGGAATTTTATAGAAAGTCAGGGAATTAGAGTGTAGGTATCTTAAGGGAAGGAGACAGTATGGAATTTAGATTTAGTTGGCTGCAGGTATCATAAAGTTACCATGCCATTCTGATTTCTCAGGTTAGTTGAAGAATGAAACAAAAATGAGTCAACTGTTAACAGTTACCCTAAAATTAAGTCATCTGAAATACTTAATGGGCTAACATAAGGGGCAATACAACACTTTGGAAGGTGTTTAATTTAGATCACTGATTTATAACCCTGGATCATCTTACTTTGCCTCTAATTATCTCAAGGAATGTCACAAAGCTCTTTAGAAATGGGAATAAAAAAGTTTAAATAAAACTCTTAAGAAAATGAAATATTGCTAAATTGTGAAGAAAAAATAAGAGATGACGTTGCAAATCTAAATCATGTGTTTATCACTAATGTAAAGTGGCTAAATCAGGAGTTGGCAAACTATGGCCCATGGGCCAAATCTGGGCCACTGCCTGTTTTTTTGCAAATAAAGTTTTATTGGAACACAACCATGTTCATCCATTTACATATTGTTTATAGCTGTTTTCCTGGACAATGGTAGAGTTGAGTAGTTATGACAGGGAATGTATGGCCCACAAAACCTAAAATATTTACTATCTGGCTCTGTGCAGAAAAATTTCACCCACTCCTGGTTTAAATCAAGGCTAGACCAAGAATCACAGAGATAATAACTCTTGTGAGCCAAAGTTAGAGCTAAAGATATCAAGTCAACAGATATCCTAGATTCTTGGACCTAGGATTTTAATCTGCGGAAACACGAGATGATATTACTGGTCCCTAGACACCACCCCCATACCCCCACCATGTTCCCTGTAGTGAGGGCCTTTGTTTTCTTCTGGAGAGCTGAGAGAATTCCATGCATAGAGTATATTTCACCTTGGCTTGCCAGGCATTCACACGTCCCTGGGCGTTAAGACGGGCACGAGAGGGTTCCCAGTAATCTCCCCACCAAGATTTTTTAAAGGAGGAAGCTGTAATTTGCTTGTTTTCTATCTTTCCACTTTCCATACCCAGTGGTGTGGAACATCCTGTCAAGAGAAAAGTAATGTAATTAATTATGCACCACCAATATTCACTGCATAGCGTTTTGCACTGCAGAGAAGACAAGAAATAATACAACAAAAATAACGATCGCAACAATGAACATTTATTGAATCCAAGTGCTAAATACTTTTCAGATTTTATATGTATTATTTAATGCTCATATCTCCATTTTACAAATGAGAAAACAAAATATAACAAGAAAGAATAACTTGCCTAACGTAACAAAGCCTGAAGAATCAGAAACTGAATTTGAGCCCAGAGTCTGACATCAAATACCACATTGTAAACATTTAAATTCACTGCCCTCCTTCAGAGAGTCATGGAACCTTCTGACTTTGCTTTGAGGTAGACAATAATCCTAAACTAGCCATATATATAAAATATACTCTGTTTCCTCTTCTTCTTAAAAAAAGCTAGAAAGAAGATATAATAGACCCTTAGTAGTCACCATTTAATATTTTCCTTTTCAACCCTTGGAAGGTAATTCATGTTATATACCCTTTGGAGTTTTGCCAAGGTGTAAGCTGAGCATTATAGGCAGCAACACTGACCTGTGACTGTAAGAAACATAGCTAGTGAGTAAGCCCAGCTGACTGCCCATCACCTCTGTGAGACTTTGTCCTTGCTAGTAAAGCATGCACAAATTTTCTTGAAGTGCTACTTTACTTTTTCCATGAAAAAAAGCCCTAAAAAGTACACCTATTGCTAATGCTAATTATAAAAGTATCAAGAAAGTGAAATAAGAAGAAAATAATCTTTCCTGCATAGAAAATAGATGTTTTCAATAAATTAAGAGTTGAATGTCACATTTTAGGGTAGCTTGCCTATGATTTGAACACATCTATCATTTATACCATATACCATAGGGAAACAAAAAAAACAATGACTTATGGAACTGTTTTCAAGGCCTGCTCCTGCCTGTATAAGATTTGTGTTTTATATGGGAAATGTTATGTACTACTGCTAGCTGGGCATTGGCAAAATGCCCATATCCATATCTCTCATGAATGCAGACCTATTTATTGATCCCCCTACCCCCTCGGCCCATGAGAAGCCAGTTGGGTCCTGGACCAGCCAAGCCCCCCCTGGCTTGAGGTGAGCCCCATCACCTCACCTTTTTAACCCAAGAATGCTATTTTCTGTGTGTGCTTTGAAGTGAAACATATTGAAAAGCACTGCTTTAAGAGTCTAAGAAGAATAGTTGATAAGACTCTTAAACATCCTTATTGTATATGGCAGAATTTTATTATGACCATTTATGATTACTTGGATTTATGTATGCCACAGGTCACATTACAGCCCCTGAAAAATTGCAGTTTACATAGAAGAGACTTGAGTACCTACATAGGGTACTAAAGAGAATATAGAGTACAATCATCATTTAGGAAGTTGGGAAGCAGACTCAGATTTCAAAAACACTCAGTGAACACCAAATATATGCCAGTAATGTTGCTAGATACTTTTATTACGCTAAGTCTGAGTGACCTGGAAGATTTTGGAATAGTCAAGCCTAGTTGAATCTCAGGTAGTTCTTACTGAAAATGGGCTGATGGAGGTAATTCCAAATTAGAGCCTTTCCTTGGAGGGTTATGGTGGTGTGTCCATATCATCCAGGCACTGCTCAGAAAGGTGGTGCCTGTCCTCTGGCTGGTAGATCAGTCTAGATCAGTGTGATCAGTCTAGATCACACTGAGAGTTTATTTGAATGAAACCTCTGTTTTACAAAGGTTTTTCTAGGAGCCTAAGTCATCGAAAAGAACTAAAAATTCTACTCATTCTCCCACACCTCCCAAATCTTAATTCTGAGTGGCAGTGAGAAAATAACACATCTTTGTGCCTTACCATTCACCTCACAACCTTGCAGTTCCAGTCGAAGGGTAGGTCTGTTATAGGATCTAGTTGGAGAGATCCTAATATATCTAGCCACAATAGGTGGGTCAAACTGATTCTCTTTTATTGAAGATGCATCTGAATTGCCATCAAAATACTAGAAGAAAAGAAGAAAGCTTAGTTATGTAACAATTCTCAATAAAGTGATTTTATAGTAAAATTTTAATCTAGAATTTAATATTGTGACACTAAGTTTTCTTGGGGCCTGAACCAAATCAATTTAGTCTGAAAATATAACTGGAGATATTTTTAAGAAGATGGTGTAGGTGTAGTTTGTCCTATTTCTCCTGCTAAGTACATCTAAAAACCCTGGACAGTATACCTAAGAGAAACATACGAAGACTCTAAAAGGAGGAGAGAACAAGGCAGACTGACTAGGGTTCTTAGAAGGAACAACACAGTGGTGGGTTCCCTGGGTGTTTCTTGTTTTTTGTTTTGCCTCGTATATCCCAGACTTAGAGATGAAGAAGGCAGCAACCTGGAAAGATCAATGGGTACAGACAAAAAAAACCCCAATGAAAGCCTGCTTTCTGTAGCCAAAGGACCAGGTAAGGGCAGCCTTAGTAAGAGAGAAAACTTTGAGACAATAACTTCCCTACTTCAGCCAAACACCACCCAAACCTGTTGGCCCTCCTCTACCCACAGCAGCAGAGGCTGAGTGGAGAGCCTAGACTTCTATGTTCATGAGACTAAAGTGGCTCCCCGACACCCTCATTGGGGTTGTGTCAGAAAATGACACACAGGGACCCAGAACTCTCATCCCCTCTAGCCCTTAATGAAGCTCCTTCCCCTGCCATACCAGTGGAGACCACAAGGGGAACTCCCATCCCCCACCCATTAGCAAAAAGGAGCAATTGCCTCTAAGGTGTGATGAGGGTGGGGGTTCTGGATTTTGCCTGCCACCTGGCAGTAACCAGGCTGTGTGCCCTGTCCCTGCCAGAGCAATGGCAGAAAAAGCCAGCTAACACAGAATATAAGGACAGACATCAGTAAGATTGAAAACAGAAAAAACAATAGAGAACAAAAAATCAATGAAAGAGCTGGGTCTGTGAGAAGATAAAAGCATCGACCAATCTCCAGCAAGACTGACAAAACAAGAGGGGGTAAAAATTACAATATCTGAGATGAAACAGGCAACATCCCTGCACACATCGAAAGGATAAGAAGGGAATGCTACAAACAACTCCACACATAAACTTAACAACTTAGAGGAAATGGACTGATTTATTGAAATACACAAAATATCCCAACTCACCCAATATGACATAGATAATTTGGATAGCCTGCAACCATTAAAAAAAATTGAATTTGTAATGGAAAAACTTCCCCCAAAGAAATCTCCAGGCCCAGATGGCTTCACTGGTAATTTCTACCAAATGTTTGAAGAAGTAATACCAATTCTAGACATTCTCTTTCAGAATGCAGAATAGAAGAGCATGTTTACCAATTTATTTTATGCAGCTAATCTTACTGTGGTATCAAAAATAGAAAAAGACAATCCAAAAGAATAAAACTACATACCAGTATCTCTCATGAATATAAATGCTAAAAACTTTAAGATACGGACTCAACTATAATCTGTGTTCTGACTCCAAATACTGATTAGTAAGAACCAGGATTTAAGATTTTCATGATTTGTTCTCAGATATATTATAAATTTATTAGAAATAACTAAATTATGATGTGAAAAAATAGTAAAATAGTAAATAATTTGCATAAAATAAAAATTGAAACAGATTCAACGGCAGATAGATCCCTTGCACTTAGACAGCTTTCTTTGTGGGGAGGGAGTTTAGGGAAGATGGGGAGAGTTAGGCCTCCTGGCTGAGCGAAAGGAAGACCCAGCAGGGGAATGTCATTCCTCAGGCACGGCCCCCCAAAAAGTCTCAGAAGCACACTGCCTCAGGGCATTACTGGCATTAACACTACTAATGCCTTCAGGTACATTAAAATAAAGAACAAAATAGAATGTAATAGTGAAATCAAAGCTCTTGGTAACCAGTTTTTAGCACGAACTCCTTGAGGCATAAGACCAGATACTCTACTCTGCTGTACAGCATCTGCCAATCTGAGAAGTCTGAGTATTTTGTTTGATGATAAAGTGATTATTTTTCAAATGTTGTAGGGTTTTGAAGTTTCAGGAATCCCGCTTATCTCTTCGATTTGTGATGCATAGACCCATCATATTAGCACTTTTCTCCATAAGACCCTTAGAAAACCATTCGCATTTCTAATACCCAGGGAGGTTTTTATTTTTTTTTTAAGACGGTTATTAGATATAGTCATAATAACCCTAGGCTGAGTCTTGAGATTGAGATAGAAACATGCACACAAACCATCACGTTCTTCGTGCTGTTCCCTTTGAAGATCTGCCAGTTGGTGTGGTCAGAACTGTAGGCCACATTGAACTCTGTGGTGTAGAGGGACTTCAGGTAGTGTTTGGCACCTTGGGTCTGGATCCCTGTGATTACAACTTCCTTTTGCATGTCCACCTGCATATAACAAAGCCAGTAAACACAGCAGTCCTTTCAATGAGTCACATACTGTCCTAATGAATTATACAATTAACTTTCTTTAGAACTAAAGAACCAGCACCTAAGATCTTAGCAAACTGATAAAGTGACTAACTGCAATCCATATTTGAATACAGAGCACCTGGACTTGAATCCCAGTGCAAGCACTAACTAGCTGCGTGTTACTTTGGGAAGGTGATTAGCATCTCTATGTCTCAGTTTTTTTCATCTATAAAAGGGTATATTACTAGAACCAATCTCAAAGGGATGATTTTGAGGATGTAAAGTATATAGAATAGTGCCTAGCACTTAGCAATTGCTTTTTCCCTTAATAGTATTACAAGAACAACAAGAAGAAATTACTAAATCACTGTCATTTTTATTACAATAGCAGTAAATATTATCAGGCTATTAAGACATACCTGGATCCAAGGGTTAGAGCCAAATCCTGTTGCAAGTTTTTCTACACTCCAAGCATTATATGATCCAATGTTGTTTAATCTTGCTAATTTAGGCTCCCAATAACCTAAATATAAAGGAAGAAAAAAATTATTCTGAATTTTAAAAAACCCAAACAATTAGCAATTTCTCAAATGAGTTTGATCAAGGGGAAGACCAGATCCTTGGAGGACCTGTGTTGCAGTTAGGAGACCAGGCAGTTGGCATGGGCCTCAGCTACTGAGCCAGGCCTTGATGAGCTCTTGGCTTCAGATCTGTGTTTGGCTGGATGTCAGCCACCACCCACCCCCTTTCTTGCACATAAATGGTGTTTGTCTCTTCTCGGTTATGTTGATATGTCTGCTGCGAATGTGTCTGCCTCATAGGAAGACATGGAAGAGGATCATGAGACATGGGAGACTCCCGTGTCTCATGATCCTCTTATGACCTCCTGATCTTGGGAAAGGCTTTGAGGCAGAATGAGGAGACTCAGGAGGAGTTCCTGACACATAGTGGGTGATCAACAAAGTTTCTTGAAGAGATGAATGGTTGGCACAGGCAAAGGGCCATATTAATGGGGACTGTATTTGCTTGGGTGTTAAGACCCTGTAAATCTGGGTGGAATAGTATATGTGCAATAAAACCCATAAAAGATGAATGGGAAGAGTTTTAGAAATGGGCACATGGTCATAAGAGTAAGCTATCCACTTCCTGCCAAATCCCTGTAGAGAGGTGCACTGCCTATGCAGAGATACCAATAAACCTTAGCTCTTGGCTTTCCCTAGAAGAGACCCTTTGGGAACATTATATACCAGAATGGGTGGTGGTGATAAGAGTATGCTAACAGGCTTTTAGCTCCTGCCATAGTGTTCCTTCCTCTACCAGATGATCACCCCAAATGGAATTGCTTCACTGTATTGTGGTAGAGAAACACCTGTAGAGAAGAACTGACCCATAGGCAGGATTGTCACGTATAGTTCCACAGGTTGTATACTGCACAATTGTAGGGGATGCCATTCATAGGATACGGTGCTATAACTTACCCAGATACTCAGAAGCCTTGATCTGCGTATCAGATACAATACCAGTGCTTAGTCCCATTGGCATCTTACATTCTATGAAAAACAGAAAAATGAATAATTTTTGCTTATAAAATACATATAACAAAGTAAAAGCTCCATGGCTAGAGATTATATCTCTGATGGGTCAGTAATTAGATATTTTTCCCTACTTTGTATGACACTGACTTAAACATGTCTTATCATAAAATGGTAAATGCTCTAGCAAGACCAGTGCTTTAATAGAAATAATGACATCCTAGAGGAAAGCAACTGAAATCCTGAAATACAATTCGTTTTTACAGTGATTTCCATCTGCTTTTGTCTTAAAATAAGCTATTTCACAATGTTAGGTAAGTACTATCCCTCATGAGACTGTGTTCTCAAAAGTTTACCTGGAAGTCACAAAGTTATGTACGTCTTGATCAAGGAAGGGATACCAGCCTCTGTGCTACCTGGATGTTGGGCACAGTGCTGGTACTCAATAGGTACTTAGTAAAGACTTAAAGAATGGATAGATGAGCTGGGCATTGTGGCTCAACACCTGTAATCCCAGCACTTTGGGAGGCTGAGGTGAGAGGATCACTTGACCAGGAGTTCAATACCAGCCTGGGAACATAGCGAGACCCTGCCTCTACAAAAAATAAAAAAGTTAGCCAAGCATGGTGGCTCATGCCTGTAGTTCCAGCTACTTAAGAGGCTGAGGCAGTAGGAGCTCTTGGGCTCAAGAGTTTGAGGGTACAGTGACCTATAATTGGACCACTGCACTCCAGCCTGGGCAGCAGAGTGAGACCCCATCTATTTTTTTTTTAAAAAAAAGAGAGTAATGGATGGAAACATTGTTTCTTGAATATTTGAATATTGAAATGCCAAGTTTGGTGACTATCTCAGTCATTGTTGAATTCCTGTTACCCTTCCCTCCTCTATCCTAGGAACCTGTAAAATTTCTTACATGTACTTTCCCAGGGATTGTAAATCATGAAGAATGCTCTACATTGGTTTCCCAATTAAGAGGAATGCCTTTGATCTGCCTGATGTGTTTTCAGTACAATAGGACCAGGGGCCAGGATAAAAGCAATGATGGTTACAAATTATGCCTTTGTCACATCGGAGTTCTCAGAGTTGAATCTAAAAATTGGTAATATTCTAGTAATAGGCACTCTCCTGCTAAAAAAAAAAAAAAATCACATGACTATTGAGTGATACCTTTGTCTATGACAAGAAATGGCGTTTGCATCCCTGCTCTCTGGTTTTCTCCAACCTCTGTGTTTAGGAGCCACCAGCCAGGTTTTGATGGCTTCATTTCAAGAGTTTTAAATGCACCTGAAATACAGAGTTAAGGACATTACACACCCAAAGCCTAACAAGTTAACGTTGTGGCTGATAGCTCTCCGAGAATCTTAAAATCCCTGCTTCGCAAGAGGCTTTACAATAGAATTTAAGAGTTAGTTATCCATTTCTCTTTAGGTAAGACTACAGGTACAACAGATAAAAACAAAACAACAGCAGCAATATACACACAGATTACTAAAAATCAATCACCCTAAGATTTTAAAAAAATCGCTACCACACCTCACTAGAAAGAAACTTTCACTTATCTAAATACGTTACAAGTTAACTCATACATAGTACAGCTTCACAGTCCTAAATATCAAAATGATCTTGAATGATTCATCATTGGGTCTCTAACCTATTGTACAGGTTTCCTTTCTCTCTTGTCATTTTTCTTTTTTCTCTATTTTTTTTTAATATGAGAAAATCAAGATAAAACATTCTTCCTCTGTGTTTTTGAATTTTCTGTAAAGCTTATAGATTTGGATAGAGATTTGTGTAGATTGTTTCAGAAAATCACTGAAAGAATGAGATTTCTAAAACCTCTGATTATCCATTCTGGTATTTAATATTACACCCTGCCAGTTAATACTTAAATTCTGTTAACTATAATTTGTGACCGTTTCCAAGATCGTGGGTGAAAATTAATAGATGATGGTCATCCCCTTCAACACACTGAAAAAAGGTCTCCAGTTTTCCTCTCTCCAATGCGGATATTTAGGTTTGGAGATTTAGATGGAACAGCCAGTCCCAGCTTCTCAGTTTATCTTGCAGGCTCATGGGAAGGACAGCTGATCTGCTAATACTTGGTAAAAAGATAAGGAGTAAGGTTGCCCTAATCTCCTCTCTCTCTGATCTTAATAGACTGGGTCTCTCTAGATGTATTAGTGAGTCACTGGCATGTGAAAACCAGCAAGAACCCTCTTCTCCCCTGCTTTTAACCAAACCAGGCCTGTTTGGACTTCTGTGCCTACACCTAAGGCAGGTTCACAGGACAACTTCCCCACCCAAAGTCCTGTCAAGGGGTGGCCTTTGCTAGATGATCAGGCAGCATTTGTGGAAGGGAGGCTGCTTGTTAAAAAATGCAGACTCCTGGGAATTCTGCCCAATTGGTATTAACTGATCAACACTTCAGTGCACGTATAAGAATAGCATTTATTGGGTGTTGGGCAGGGGGAGGAGGAGGGGAGAGGAGGTGACGGGCATATGCACAATGAGTGCGATGCGCACCTCCCGGGGGATGAACACGCTTGAAGCTCGGACTTGGGGGTGATGGGGGGCAAGGGCAATGTACGTAACCTAAACATCTGTACCCCCATAATATGCTGAAATTAAAAAAAAAAAGATCTACATTAAAGTCTCTGAGAACAAAATCTCTGCTTTTGCATCTGCATTTGCACCTGCTTCCTAGGTTTTTATGATGCCCACTGAAGCTTGAGAATCTGGCACCCGGCACTCACACTCCTGTTACACAAGCAGGTACATCTACAAACAACTCATTGGCACATAAACATCTTTTCTGATGATCGCAGTTTGTTTAAATCTATACTTAGCATTTTGCACATGAAAATCTCTAAATACCTTTGTTGTTATTTAGCTTTTATACAAAGCTTTTTGTATCATTTAAACAATTTTTTCTTTCCTCTCCAAACAGCCTTATGAATCAGTTCAAGATTATGATTCCTGTGGTCACTTGCTCAAAGATATTATTAGGGTGATAGAGCCAGGAGTAGAATTCAAGAATTTGGAAACCCTAATAAGTTTCTGATCTTGCTCCTGACAGAGATAGCTTTAGCTGCCTGAGACTTGTGAGATTCATTGTGTGACCTGTGGAGATCTGATCTTTGTGACAAATAGTGGCTTGGGAGAACCTGCACATGACATAGCATCTCTATAGAACCAAGTTGGGCCACACATTTGTCCTGTGTGGTGCTGCAAACAGTGCACACGTTAGGTGATGTTTTTGTACTCTGTATACAGTTTTGGCATATAGCTTTGCCTAGGCTTGTGCCAGAACCTTGTGTTCTGATCCCATAGGAGGAAGATGCACGAGGAGGGAATGAGGGGGAGTTACAGATGCTGAGATTGCCTTCCCCTCGTATTTCTTAGCAGTGACCTCTTTCCATCACCCACTATTTACCAGGCAGAAGGGGCCAGACCCCTAACTGATGCTGTTGATGGCCATTTTCCAGCAAGGTCTGCCCGTGGAAGTGAACCACGTGAATGTCTTGGGAGCCGCCCACATTCAGCAGGTGGAACCTCACCCACTCTTGCTCGTACATTCTCAGGCCAGGCATGTTGTAGATCATCCCATTAATGGCTGAAAGGAGAGAGATACAACCAGTTAAAAGCCTGTATACACCAGGGTGGCTGGTAAGGAAACATGGTGCAACCCACTCACTGCCAGTCTTCCTCACTTCTCTGCATTCCCAAGCCCACCCAGGCGTAGAGAGGGCCCTACTGGATGTCATATCAGCTGAAGCAGAACTACCAGCCCTTCTCATGTCACTCCCACCAGCCTATACCAGAGGTGCAGGTGAGCTCGCTTTCTAAGTCATTTATCACTCTTTCTCCCAGATTTCACACTTCTGCTCTATGCTTTATCCATTTATTGTTCCCATTAATGGTCTGAATTTCCTTTGCTACAAAAAATAAGAACTAATATAGGCAGACAGAGCAAACTCCAGGGGTGAGAGTAAGTAAAGAGATGTGCAGCATGTCACCCTAAGGCTTCCTACATTCAGAGATTGTTCCAGGCAAAATTAGGATGCTGGAGTTTATCTTTGGTGTACCCACCAACCATAGCGAGTCACGTTTATTCTCTTGTTGATATGATAGCTCCTCTGCCCCTTCCCAGCTTACATGTCTAGGATTCCCAGCTTTTACCACTCTCACCTTAGTGAAATATGTGGGTTTTTAAAAACGTACCTGATATACTTGATCACTGAAGAAATGTAACACAAAACTTTAGTGATAAAGCTTATTGCTACCAAGCATTTAACTGGAACTAAAGTGAGAGAAGTTTTTTTTTTTATTCCTTCTTAAGTTAAATCCTGCTGTGGAATTTCAGGAACCAGACAAGTGAATTTTGGGAAGGGGAAGAGTTGAGATCATTTGGGCACCCTTAAAATTATATCTGATATGGGAACACCTATCTACATACTGATAACACTAGCTTGTACCCCCCATCTTGGTTTCTGTTTCGGTTTCCAATGTACGGGCCACGTACTTTTCCCAGTGTGACCACCCAAATGCTCTCTTGCCACTATACTCCCACTGCCCGGCTACCTAGTTTCCTATCTCATTTTGTTCTCATGTGCTTTGGAGCCACCTGGTAGCTACTAAGAGCTAGAACTGTTAGAATCATCCTTATTTTAGAAAATACACATGGGTGATCGTTTCCCCTGTATAAACACTGCTCCTTTAGAGATCAAGAAATAGGTTTATTAACTTTTAAAATTGCAGAATAATGTTAATTCCTTTACCACCTGAGGCACACTGGCCTCTTTGTTTGCTGGTTTGTTTTGCAGTAGCCGCCGTGTGCTACCTTTCAGACTTTCTCTACTCTCCTTCACCTGCAGTGTCACCTGCCAGGTTATGTCAGCCCTCTGAGATGTCAGGGAGCTGGTTTTAATTGCAGCCCCTGGTTCCTCAGAAGCATCTCATGTCTAATCTTGTGAGGATCTAAGGGCAGGAATTACCATGACCCAGTGTGATTTAGTTCAGAAATTAGATCAAAATCAGAGGAAAATACCATGAAACTCATGGGAGTTTTTTACTTCTGAGGATGCGAGTCTCCAAGACCTTGTGGACTTCTTTTCATAGTACCAGCTCTTCTTTTCATCAAAGACCATAAAAAGTAAGACGAATTCTCTCATGTCCACCGGCATGTTGCTCTCCTTATGAAGTGTTCCTTTTTGGCAGATCAGAAGGGGCCCAATCAACCCCGAGTGGATATCTTTTTCCTGGAAGGCAGGAAGAACACATTGCATGTATTCTCCCTTTCTCAGGACTTTCTTTGCTCTCTGACAATCACTGATTATACAGAAAAGGAAACTTTCTTGGAAGCTTTGAATTTGAATTTTATAAAGGAATGGCTTAATAAGCCTGGATATTTATCATCTAATTCTACTACCTTCATATTCCCTTCCTCTGACTGATCTTTTATCCCAATAATCATGATGACAATATTGATAATATAATGGATAATATTTATTAAGCATCTACTATATTAAATGCTTTGCCTATAGTATCTCATTTGATCCTGATAACTACTTTATATGATAAATATAAACTCATTCATTGAACAAATATTTACCAAGTGTTTACTACATGCTATGCACTATTATCTCATTTATAACTTTGGAAACCAAGGCTGAGAGAGGTCAAGTGATTTTTCTAGGGTCATGCAATAAGTGACAGGGTAGAACTTTAGATCTAAGTCTGTGATCTTTCTACCATGCCTTAAATGAAGAAGTTTTTTTTTTAAAAAATTGACATATAAAATTGTATGTATTTTACTGTATATATTCACAATATATTGAAGTATATATACATTGTGAAATGATAGAGGAAGGAGTCTTGACTTTGCAATTCTTTCATAAAGAAAGAAAATTGCAAATAAATGTCTTCCTCTGTAAATGTAGGGATTCTAACTTGGGGCCAACCATTTAAGGGATCCTCCCTCTTCTCCACTGAATAAATCTCTCTCTCTCTCTCTCTCTCTCTCTCCTCTCTCTCTGTCTCTCTCTGTCTCTCTCTCTCTCTACACATACACCCCCCCCGCCTCTCTGTCATCTGAAGGAGCTGCATGGAGAGTCCCTGGTTACAGTAACTGCAGACTGTTGTCCACACCCCTCATACATTCCTCATGAAAAGCGAGACAGATATTTAACAGGAAATAGCCCCAACCCTTTCATTTGGTGGACTCAGGTTATAAGGTCAGGGGAATCACAAGCACTGTCGGTGGAAGTCCCTACCGGGTTCACAGCCGAGTAGTAGGCCCAAGCCCGACAGGCAGAGCCAGGGCTTTCCGGCCCCGATCGATCAGTGGCGTGCCATACGTATGTGTAACTGCTGTTTGGCGGAACAGCATTATCTTCCTTAAACCATTCAGGAGAGTCGTCTTCATAAGTCTTTCCCTCTGATGATTTTTCATAGGAAAGTCCATGAGCATGAAGAGAATATGGTCTGGAAGCTAAATTTTTAAAACGAACCTAGGAAAAGGAATGATGCACAAATATATTCAAGCTTAACAAAAATCTAAACCCCAAAATGTCAGCATTATAGGCCTAAGTGGATGGTTGTGAAATCGGAGCTAAGATATATTGAGTGCTGACAGTTGCAAAGTAACTTGTGTATGTTATTTTATTTAATTTTTACAACCATCCTGTGAGATCGGGCCCAAATAGTTTACCCCAGAAACACCACCGCATGTTTGTTCTTAGGCTCAGGGCTGCAAATGAAATGGCAGTGATAGGTGCTGGAGGTGTGAAGGTGAAAGAGGCTTGGTTCTTGCTCAAAAAGCTTTCAAGCTAATGGTGAAGAGAGACATACACACGTAAATCCACCTCCAAATCCAGAGACAACAGGTGCTACACACAAAGTAAGAATGGGTTGAGATGAGAATGCCCTGGAGGAGCAATTTCATGGAACGTTTAGGAGAGGTTGGAAGAATTTAAGAAAGTTCTTAGGGGAAATGGAATTGGTCCTTATAGAATGAACAGCAGCTCAGCAGCGGGAGAAAGAGGAGAAAGACATCTCAGGCTCCCAGAAGGGCAGAAACATACCTGTAAGGAGGGGAGTAAAGGAAGAGTTTAGGGCACAGCAAGGATCTGGGTATGGCTGGACTGTGGAATGCACAGGGGCGGGTGGAACCTGGTGAGAAATGAAGCTGGAAAAGGACGAGGTGGGGGCCAGATGGCGGAGGACCTTCAGTGCCACACGGGGAATCTTTGAGCCCGAGGAGAGTCAGACCCATGAAGCTCCTCCTCGTGTTCTCTTCTGTTAATATAACTTCTAGTGCTTAAAGACTCCCTAATCATAGGAGAGAAGAGTATTGCCTCCGATATCTTCATGGAACGTTTAGAATAATTAAGATTCTCATATCCCTATGCACCTATTTGCCTTTTTAAAAAGAGCAAATGTTCACTGAAAATTTGGTGAATGCTTAAAAGAGGTATAATAGATTATGTGTTTGCATCTAGAATAGTTTACTTTAGATTCAAGTTCTTTCCTTTTTTCTTTTTTTTATAACTGAGAGGTTAGAAAGGATGGGGAAATAAACTTTGTTATAAAAGCCAGCTGTAGGTCTGAAAATGCACACAGGATTTTGAAAGAAATTTATCAGGACTGGGAAAACACTTAGGAAACCTGCTCACTTTTGGAGGGCAGGGACACACTTTTACTTCCCTTACTAATTTTCTTTAACTTCACTTTCTTTTAAGAAAACACCGAGAGATATTTCTAAGTTGCTATTACTACCCCCACTACTACTGCCACCACCACCACTACTATGAAACTCAATTGAAGTGCTCCTGAATATATTAATTTTCCGTGTTAACTTTAGTAATGTTAGCTTTAGATAAAAAGTGTGATTTTCCCAATATTATACAATTTTCAGCGTTTAAAAAAAATATGAGACCACTTTTCTTTGTCTTGAAAATTGTCAAATTGCTTGGCAATGTGTCTTTGAAAAGAAATATAATTATTTGTTAATCCTGGAAAATAAATAAATCACCCATAGCTCTCTTGCCACCTTCATCTTTACAACCTTCTGGTGCTTGTGAAAATTCCTCTGATGACATTAACAGTGTTCCCAAAAGATGACTTACTTGGATAACATCATCCACTTCGGCTCTAATAACAGGACCAAGAATGCCAAGATGTTCCTCATACTCCCCTCGAGGATCACGTTTGGTAAAAGTGCTATCAAGGTACTTTCGAAAAACTACTTTCTTGTATATGGTGCCCTCTGGAATATTATCAATGTCTTCATTATCCATTTCACTGAAATGATAACAATAGCATTTATTTAAAAGAAGAAATTAAAGACTGTTCAAAGAATTTAGAAAATTGTCTCTGTTTCTAAATATATAGATTATTAGGTTATTAAGTATGAAATGTCTGATTTCCTTAAGTACTAAGTTTGACAGTTGACATATCTGACATTTCACTTTGACACTTGTTTTATTTTTATTGTGAAGTTACATCTGTCTTTCAAATGCATGTTTTGGCATGTGATTATCTTTCAAATTTTTTTTAGAGCAATTTTTGTGAAACCATGGATAAGTCAAAAATTCATGTTATTTTCTAATATGAGTTCTGTTGTGGAACCAATGCAGTGCAGACAGCCCCAAATATCAACAAAGTATTTGGGAAGGATGTGGCTAATGAACACACAGTACGTTGATGGTTTGAGAAGTTCCATTCTGGTGATTTTAATCTTGAAAATGAGCCGTGTGGGCAACCTGAGACCAAAGTGGATAACAATGAGCTGAAAGTGGAAGCAAATCCATCTCAACCTACACACGAATTAGCAGCAAGGTTTGACGTTCCTATTTTAACAATATTGGACCATTTGAAACAAATCAGCAAGGTAAAGAAGCTGGATAGATGGGTTCTGCAGGAATTAAATGAGCATTAGAAGAGAAGCTTGCCTTTCTTTGCTGTCATGACATAAAGATGAACCATTTCTGCACTATATTGTTATGTGTGATGAAAAATGGATTCTTTTTGACAATCGCAAGCATTCAGCACAATGGTTGAATAAAATTGAAGTGCCGAAACACAGTCCAAATCCGAATAGTCATCAAAAAAAGCTACTGGTGTCAGATTGGTGATCCAGTGCTGGTATTACCCACTACAGCTTCATGAAACCTGGTCAGTCGATTACAGCAGATGTCTACTGCAACCAGTTGGATGAAATGATGAGGATGCTTATGATTAAGCAGCCAAGACTGGTCAATAGAGAACAGGCCAATCCCCTTGTAAGACCACATGCTACAAAAACCAAAACTGCTCAAATTACAGAAGCTGGACTTGGAAACTCCCTGGCATCCACCATATTCACCAGACTTTGCACCAACTGACTACCACTTCTTCCAGGCTTTGGACCACTTCTTGCAAGGAAAAATATCCAATTCTCAATAAGCTGTGGAAAATGCCTTTCACGAATTCATCACCACTCTCTGTCCAGGCTTCTTTGCTGCTTGTATAAACAAGCCACCATTAAGATGACAAAACTGTCCCCATAGTTTAGGTGGCATACTTTGATTAATTGTACTACTTCTTGTTTGAGATATAATAAACTAAACTTGTGATTCGAAATCAGACATTTCATATTTAATGACTTAATAGTATCTAGATAAGGTCTTTAATAAATACTTGATGGACAAATGAATGAATATATAAGAGAAAAAAATGTAAGCCAGTAAATACTTTTAACTCCCAGCTCAAATATCGTTTCTTACATATGTCTTCCTATGATCCTTTAGACTAGATCAAGTTTCTCTATATCATTCCTTATATTTCTATAGTAGTAGTATATATACTAAATTCTTGTAGTGTTCCTATAGTATTTCTGTAGTATATATAGTAAATTATATATAATTTATTTGTGAGATTATTAATATCTGACTCTTTCACTAGGTTATAAGTCCTATGAGGTCAGCTATTGTGCCTAGTTTGTTCATAATAATTTCTTCAGTGCTTGGCATATTATCTGGCACATAGTAAACACTTCCTTGATTTTTGTCAAACGCATAAATGAATGAACAAATATAATCATATATTAACATAGCAAATTTTAACATCAAAGGCAGACAAAGCCATGCAATAGGACAGTGCCAGAGCTTGAGGTTATCAGGTGACGACTGATGGTCAGATGAGTTAGAAGGTCATATCTGTGAAGGACACTGGATGGATGAGTGTTTTGTACCCTGAAAGTAGCTACTCTCCTCACATTTGCTTTTGCTAAAGACATTATTCCCAAGCTTCTTAACATTGGACTGGGCAAAGATATTTTTGGATATGACCCCAAAAGCACAGGTCGCAAAAGCAAAAGCATACAAACGGGGTTGTGTCAAACTAAAAAGTTCATGCACAGCAAAGGAAACAATTAATAGAGTAAAGAAGAGACTTATAGAATGGAAGAAAATATTATAAAACCATATATCTGATAAGGACTTTATATCAAAAATATAAACAACTCAATAGCAAAAAACCAAATAACCCAATTAAAAAAATGGCAAAGGACCAGAATGCACATTTCTCAAAAGAAGACATACAAATGGCCAAAAGGTATATGAAAAAACACTCAATATTACTAATAATCAGAGAAATGCAAATTAAAATCACAATGAGAGATCACCTCACACCTGCTAGAATGGCTATTACAGAAAAGACAAGAGATAAGCAATGGAAGGATATAAAGAAAAGGGAACCCTTGCACGCTGTGTTGGGAATGTAAATTAGTACAGCCATTATGGAAAACAGTATGGAAGTTTCTTAAAACATTACAATGGAACTACCATATAAGCCAGCAATCTCACTCTTGGGTATATATCCAAAGGAAATTAAATTGGTATTTTGAAGAGATATCTGCATTCCCATGTTTATTACAGCACTATTCAAGATAGCCAAGATATGGAATCAACATAAGTATCTACCAACAAATGAATGGATAAAGAAAATGTGGTACACATACACAATGAAATACTATTCAGCCTTGAAAAAAGAAGAAAAAGAAGAAATGTCATTTGCGACAAAATGGATAAACCGGGAGGACCTTGTGTTAAATGAAATAAGCCAGGCACAGAAAGACAAGTATCACATGATCTCATTTATGTGTGAAATCTAAAAACACTGAACTCATAGAAACAGAAAGTAGAATAGTGGTCAACAGGGGGCACAGGGGAGGAAAATTAGGAAGATGTTGGTCAAAAGATACAAAATTTCAGTTAGAAAGGATAGATTCAGGAGATCTATTGGATAACATGGTCATTATAGTTAATAACAATGTATTGTATTCTGGAAAATTGCTAAGACAGTAGATTTTAAGTTTTCTCACTACAAAAAATAAGTATGTGGGATAATTCATGTTAATTAACTTGATTTAGTCATTTCACAATCTATATATATTAAAACATCATTTGTACCATAAAAATATACAAAACAACAATAAAAAACTGTGATGCAATCATACTATGGAATACTAAACAATAAAATGAATGGACTATTGATATATGAAATACCCTGAATGAATCTCCAGAGAATTCTGCTGAGTGAAAAAAATGCCAATCCCCAAAGATTGCATGTTGCATGATTCCATTTATGTAATATTCTTAAAATGACAAAATTACAGAAAGGGAGATCACATTAGTGGTTGCCAAGGGATAAGGAAGTGGTATGGTGGTGGGGAGGTAGATGTGAGTATAAAAGAGAAGCAAGAGAGATTTTTGTGGTGATGGAAATGTTTTGTGTCTTGACAGTATCAATATCAATGTACTGGTTGTGATACAGTATTACAGATTTGCAAGATGTTACCACTGGGGGAAGCTAGGTAAAGGAAACAAGAATCTCTGTATTATTTCTCTCAACTATATGTGAATCTATAATTATCTCAAAGTAAAAAAAAATTTAAGAATATAAATAAATAAGGCACATCTTTCCCCACGTAGCTCATCAGCTCAGTCTTGGTCCAAGGCATGTCAAATTCTCCCACTGACTCTCAAATTTCCCAAGCCTATGGAAACAAGCCAAACACTCATCCAGCTAGCCCATAATACTTGTGATATACTATGAACCATCAACAGAAAATCTCATTCTGCCTTTCTTCCAGTCTTTCTCCCATACTAACCCCGTCTTTCCAGACTCTGAGCATAGCACACAATCTCACAGAGCACAGGGGGTTGGGCAAAGCAACTTTGATTACCCTAAAAGTAAGTTGTAGGCCCGGAATGGGACACGAGACTTTGAAGGAACTGGTTCCATCCCTTTCCACTCTGGACAGGCCCTAAATCCTATCCCCTCTGGGCCTTGCTTAGAAATCCTCAGATAACTAGTTATTCTCACATAGTAGTGGGTGTTGCCTTAAAATTGGACGTCATGGAAGAGAGTGTTTCAAACAGAGTTCTAATGTGGAAATGTCAGGCATCAGATTAATGAACTAATTTGTATAATTCACACCATACATTGTGTTTGCTGACTCTAATTATACTTTGGTTTTTAATTGATTAGTGTAACAGCTTTTGTAAAAGTGGCGGGCTATGTCTAGGCAGTTGATGCATAGTCACCATGCTAGATCCCTGAGAATCTGTAGTTGACTAAGCCTTGCTCCTTTCCTTCTCTCTCTTCTCTCTCTGTATCTTCATCCCAGAATAAAGAGCCCAGACCAACAGGACTGTCCTTTTAAAAAATTTCAAAATATTAAGGGGGTACAAATGTTTTTGTCACATGGATAGTTTTTGTAATGCTTTAGTCAGGGCTATACATGTGCCCATCACCCAAATTAGTGTTCATTGTACCTGTGAGGTAGGTTTTTATCCCTCTGCAACATGACTTCCTACCCCTAAGCAAAATTGAATTGAAAATGATCTTAAAAAAAAGTATATGGATCCCTTAGAAACTCTAATGTAAACAAGCAAATACAAAAGGAGACTTCTACATCACAAACTTGGATTTGATGCCAACTTCAATTAAATCATATTGATTAGTATATAGCTATGGATAGATTGAGTTCTGCATTGAAGCAAGAAGAAGGGGTAGAAACGTGTAGTAAGAGAAGAGGACACAGGAAAAGACTTATTTAACTACAGAATAGCATAGACTTCTTACAATAACTGTTGTTATATTGTCCGAATATCATCTAAAGTAGAGAAGCTAATCTTGGAATTAACAAAGGAAATAGTATAAGCTAAGTTTCAATAGGAGAATCAAACTATACTTAGCATAATTTGCCCAGAATTATCTCCCTAGATTGTTGCAGCTACTTTTTTCAGCAGTAGTGGAAAAATGAGACTATAAAAGGAGAAAACTAGCCAAACCTTTGTGCGAATTTTGAATAATCCCAGGATATTTCTTCTGCAGCAATATAATAATTTCTTCTGTTTCCATTGTTGCTGCGGAGGTACCATGCCGCGATGTTGTCAGGATTTCTGGAGGAGTTGATGTCTGTCCTAATATCAGTTTGGTAGGGGTCACTATAGGCCACATAATCAATTTCGACATAGTCTTCATCACTGTCCTGGTCCTCCTGCCTTGGAATAATCTCAATGTAATCTCCATCATCTCTACTGAGGCCTACTACAACCGGTGGATTAAATTCCTTTGATATAAAAGTGTCATTGAGTGTAGGAGATAGCATCTGACCAAGGTCTGAATAAGGAAAAGTCTCATTAAATTCTGGAAGAGGTAATGACTGACTAGACTCAGAAGGGTAGAATGTGTGATCAAGGTCTGGAAGAGGCGATGTCTGCCTGAGATCAGGAGGAAGGGTTGTCTGACTGATGTCTGGAGAGAGAGCTACCCGGCCAAGGGCTGAAGAAAGGGATATGTGACTGAAGTCTGGGGAAATGTTTGTTTCACTGGGGTCTGGAGAAAGGGTCATCTGGCTGAGGTCTGGAGAAAGGGACATTTGACCGAGGTCTGGGGAGGGGGTTGTCTGACTGAGATCTGGGGAAAGCGTTGTGTGGCTGAGGTCTGGAGAAAGGGGCATCTGACTGACATCTAGGGAAAGGCTTGTCTGAGTGAATTCTGCAGAGAGTGTCATCTGGTCGAGGGCTGGGGAGAGGGATGATTGGCTGAGGTCTGGAGAAATGGTACCTATGTCTGGGGAGAGAGACAGTTGGCTGAGGTCTGGAGAGATGGTACCCAGGTCTGGGGAGAGGGACGATTGGCTGAGGTCTGGAGAGATGGTACCCAGGTCTGGGGAGAGGGACGATTGGCTGAGGTCTGGAGAGATGGTACCCAGGTCTGGGGAGAGGGACGATTGGCTGAGGTCTGGAGAGGTACCCAGGTCTGGGGAGAGAGACGATTGGCTGAGGTCTGGAGAGATGGTACCCAGGTCTGGGGAGAGGGACGATTGGCTGAGGTCTGGAGAGGTGGTACCCAGGTCTGGGGAGAGAGACGATTGGCTGAGGTCTGGAGAGATGGTACCCAGGTCTGGGGAGAGAGACGATTGGCTGAGGTCTGGAGAGATGGTACCCAGGTCTGGGGAGAGGGATGATTGGCTGAGGTCTGGAGAGATGGTACCCAGGTCTGGGGAGAGGGACGATTGGCTGAGGTCTGGAGAGGTACCCAGGGAGGGATGGTTGGCTGAGGTCTGGAGAGATGGTGCCCAGGTCTGGGGAGAGAGATGATTGGCTGAGATCTGGAGAGACAGTAGCCAGGTCTGGGGAGAGGGATGATTGGCTGACATCTGCAGAGATGGCTGTCTGCCAGACTTCATGTTCCAAGTAAGGGGACAGTTGACCAAGGTCAGCAGGGAAGGACTGGTGACTTAGATCATAGTCGAGCATCCAGCTGAGCTCTGGAGGAGAGGATCTGTGACTGGGGTCGGTGGTAGAGTGCATTTGATCAGGGTCTTGAATAGGGAAAGTTTGATGGTGTTCCTTTGGGGGCACTGTCTGATAAAGATCTGGAGGTGAGCTTGTCTGACTAGTGTCATTTGGGGGATTCTGATTATGGTCAGGAAGTGAGGTCATCAGGTCAAGATTCATAGAGGGCAATGTCTGATTGAGGTCTGTGGGAAGGGATGTTTCATTGGACTTATGGAGTAACAATGAATGATTCAACATTTGGTCTGAAAATGTGGCAGAGGCCGCCCCTCTTAGAGGGTGAAAGCCCCTGGGAGATAAAGGAACATGATTTCCAAGCTTCTCTCCCTTTTTTTTTTTTCGCGTCCTAATGAAAAATGGGCTTTTCTTCAATCTACTATTTCTTACATCCTGTCTCACATGTAGATATTTATGCCTAACTCTAGAGAACTTTAGGTGGCCACTCTGATTCCCAGGATTGTTTATAAGGGGGGTGCTTTCTGAACCCCAAGGACTTGAGACATTCTGGGGGCTGGTCAGAGGCTTATTAACAGCCATGTCTTCCTGAGTATCTTGGATTATTTCATAATTACCTTTCTCAGAAACCACATGCCATTTCCCATTCAAAATCTTAGATGGATCGTTTTCTTTTAAGAGTAACAGATCACTAGGAAGGTTCTCCCAGGGCCCCATCCCGGAAGGAGAACCATTGTCTTGGCTGAAATGTCTCCCAATTTTATGTGCTAGTAATTTCATCTGAGAGAACCTGTGCTTTGCTGCTTGGTATCTTTCTTTCTTGGATCCCTTATGTTTAGCATGTTCTTGACGTCTGAATCCTCTTGCCCCATGCGGAAGTAGGCTTATCCCTGTGACATCTGACTGTAGAGGATCCTCACTGGGGTCTTCAGAATATGGACTGGAATATTCTGCCATGGAAGAGTTGAGAACTGAGTTCTTGTCTAAGCCATTGAAGTGTCCCAGTGGGTGACCAGCTGTGGTGGCTCCTGGGTGAGGAAGGGTTTTCTGAGGTCCCGCAAGGTTATTGACAGTGAGACTGCTAACATTACTTGGGGAAGAAGAATTTGAACCAACAGCTGTATCTGTACTTGGGGAAATGAATTCAGAGCTGTTCTCCATAGCTAGAGCAGTAAGATTGAATTTATCTTCCTCCTGATTCAATGATGAATTTCTGAGCGACCTAATTCCTAACTCTGAAGCCAGTATATACTGGTAATCATCTTCAGCATCATTCTCATCATCATTACTTTCTGGAAAATCATGCATTTTCCGTGTAGCCATGGCTGTAGAGGACGGAGGTTCATAAATCTCATATGAGTCTTCATCATCATCTAGGATACATTTAACATCCCTGAATCTCAGCCTGAGGTTTTTGCTTCTTGGACTAGAATTCATGGTAGTTAACATCCATGTTCCTGCAGAAGAGAGACAGAAAAGCAAGTTGAAAGTCTGGGAAAAGATATAAAAACATGAGAATCCTCTGGGAAAGAGTAAAATCTGTACAAATGCCAGATGTAGTTTATAATGAACTGTAGTCAAGAATACTCTAGTGTGGTCTGTGGACCACTGCTAGTCTGAACTATTGATTACTGGTTCACAATGACATAAGGAGAGAGACCAAGAATAAAGTATTGAGGAAATTTTTTTAAAAAAAGCAATTTGACATTGCTGTGACTTCTAAGCACATGATAAGTGCATTTACCTCATTTAACAGAATATAGACCAAAAGTATGGTTAGTAGAGATTAGGGAGGAAAAAAAGTCTTTCAGCACAGATAGTTTAAGAGTCACTATTTTAGAATATATTAAGAAAGCAGTGAAGCAAGAATAAAACAGACTTTGAATATCGTAAACATCTTATTAAATGGCACATCTTGTTTGAGAATTGGATTTGGGGGGATAATGATGAGGTCTACCCCCAGAAGTAAGAGACACTTAGATATTTCTAAGGAATAGGAATTCAGGTGGTTCTGGGGCAATTTTGAATCTCTTTGAAATGGTATGAATTGTTGGCACACTGAAGAGTTCTTGGGACGTCTCCAATAGTTAACCACTTGTTAAGTGTCTAATGAGTGCTAGGTACTTGGCACATATTATTATACAATTTCAATGGTCAAAGCAACTCTGTAATATGTCACCATACTGGTTTTTAGATTTCAAATACTAAATGACTTGAGGCTTAGTGAGGCTCAGTGTGTAACCTTGTGCAAGGTTACACAGTGATTAAGTGGCGAAGCAGGATTTGAACTTAAGTCTGACAAACTCCAAAGCTGTCTCTGAGGCAACCTCTAAGGCAGTGCATCTGTTGATTGCTACCCCTAGGGTGGGGTGGCCTTAAAAAACTGAAAAGGGCATTTCAATAAAAGAAATGTTCCTTTGTGGCTGAAATATTTACTTTTTTTCCTCAAAGTTATGCCTTATCTTTCCGCTGTTGCTTGTCTTCCTACTTTGCCTGCTGTATGTCTTCCTACTTTGCCTACTTTGCCTAGGAACCCACATTAAAGGACTGGGCCCATTTAAGTCATTAATTTCCCAGTTAGAAATCACGAAAAGCATTGAAAGGAAAGCTTTCAGGGGATCAGGGAGATAAACACAGGAGCCGGGGTAGTCTGGAGAGCTGGAGCAGATCTTACAGACCAGAGATTCAAAGCTAGCTTCCTCTCCAAGTGTTCAGACTCTTACTCACCAACATTATCCATTGTGACAGTCACAGATTCTCCACGCATAGGGAAGAGGGTCAAGGTGTCCTCATGCCTCTTTTCATAGATGAATGAGTGCCCAGTGAAGTGAATGGTCAAAATGTCATCCTGGGTCCCCACACTGCAGAAGTGCCACTGGACAGTGTCATCAAAGCAGAATCCTAGCGTGGGTATGCTCTCAGGCACATAGCCATTGATAGCTGAAAGAGTAAAATATGTGGAAATGCCAGGCCTATGCCAACAGAAGGGCATGTGTCTATACCTACAATAAATGCCCCAGTGTTGATTTGGTAGTGTCAAAGCAGTGATTATCCAAGATAATCAGCTTTACCAGGTCTGATGTCACTGAAGGTCAAACAGAATTCTCAAATGAGATTTTCTTCTCCTAAGTTAGTCAACTGAGAAATATTGGGAAAAAGATAAAGCCTTCCATTTGCATTGATTTATTCATTCATTTGTCAAATATATATTCAATATTTTGTGCTCCACATTCTGCCTATAAAAATATTCTAATAATTCCACCTGGAGGAAAAGCATAATATAAGAAATTCATCTTCTTGATACATTGGTCATTGCATAAGAAGTAATGTCCCTAAAAATAAAGCCTATTTAGTATATTGTGTAATTTTCATTGTCCTCTGTTATCATCCATATAACCTACAGTTTTCATTCAAGTTTCCAGTTCATATATTTTCATTATCTATAAAAGAGACACTGCTTTAGGCAATATATTTATTTACTTATTTACTAAGCATGGTAATAGAGTCAAAGGTATAATTTCTATGAGGGCAGGGCTCATGTCTACCTTGGTTACCTATAGTTCTGTACTAGTACAGTGCCTGGGACTTAATAAATATTTAAGTGGATTCTTAACAAATATTTATTAAATTGCTGAGATAATGTGTTGCTAGTTTGTACTTCATTCTAGATGTTTTCCTAAATGGTCTATAGTTACACTGTCTAATATGGTAGCCATTGGCTACAAGAGGCTACTGAGTGCTTGAAATGAGGATGGTCTGGATTGAGATATGCAGTAAATGTAAAATATACATTGGATTTCAAAGACTTAGTAATAAAGTAAAACTCATTAATTTTTCAATATTGATTACATCTCGAAATGATAATGGTTAGGATATATTAAGTAAAACGCACTATTAAAATTAATTTTACCCATTTCTCTTTCATTTCTAATGCGGCCACCAGAAAATTTAAAGTTACACATATAGCTCATACGTAATTTCTATGGGACAACATTGCTCCAGAACTATAATAAATTCACTGCCAAAATAAAATTATGTAAAGAAAGTTGAGGATAACCCCTGTTTGGAATTATTTGTGATGGCACCTGTCAGTTCTGATAATGTTCAGTTGTCAGTCATCTGAAGCTGTATGAACATACCTTGGAGAAATGGTCCTCCTAGGTATGATCACCTATCAGAGAAGGTGATCAAGATGATGCTCAACTCTTAGAAACAGCTCTGCTGTTGTGGAGAAGTTTGCTTCCAGTTAGCTCAGTGAAATTGCTGTCAGGCTCCCATGGCAGTGGTTTTGGGCACTGATCTTTAGAACAGCAGTGAATGCCTGAACCCTGGCTCAGAGAATGCCTTTTGTTCTGAACCTCTTACTGCTCACTTCAAACTTCTTCATGCATTGCCTTTCCAAGAGACTCTTGGGTCCCCATGCCAATTTTTCTCTGCTTTGATTTGACAATTCATCTTTGGATTACTTATCTCATTTCTGCCCTGATCATATAGAACATTCAGCCTGTGCACGTGCACAAGCACGCACACACACACACACACACACACACACACATAGCAGGAGACCAAGCATGCTTCTAAGGATAACAAGCCTTTGATCTCTTGTGTAAAAAGGTTGCTATGATGTCACCCAGGGATTTCATCACTAAGTCTTTGGACTGTAAGTGAGAATAAGAGGTGCTCTTTACTGAGTGGATTCTAACCCATGTCTCTATCCCTAGGCACACTCATACTTCAACCACAGGAGTGAAAAATTTATGGACAAAAATAGTGCTCAAACTTACTGCTCATGATGTTCGATTCATAAAACTTGGGGTCGTCACGTTTCACCTCATCAGGATTTTCGCAAAACTTGTTGATATTGTCTTCAATGTACCAGCTTTTGTTCTCATCAAACACAGCAAACACAGCCTGCTGTTCAATGTCTGCTGCCCTCTGGAGAGTGAAAGTGCTGTGTTCAGTGATGAATGTTCTAGCGGATTACCTGCAACACTGAATTCTCAGAAAACAAAGGGTCATGGTGCTTGGGGTCACCAAAGCCACACAATTCAGGCATGAATGATACATGAATGCCCATTGCATACAAAGCACTTATCAGAGCTCAAGCTACTATGTAAGAGCAAACAGAGCAGATCAGAAAATTTAGAGACTATAAAATATCCCAATAGAAAAGTCTCGTTTCACCATAGCAACCGAAAGTCAGTTTCTCTCTCTAATTGTGCTCCTTTCAACATGAGTGATGGACTAAATATGTTCCAAATAGTTGCAAATGTTAAAACAGATGATGGCAACAGGAAAGTCCTACGCCTTCCTGTTTCCTTTCCTAGCTCAATAAATCAGGATTTTCCCAGTGTTCATTTCTGATTTTTCCAGGCATATCTTTATTTTGTATGCTTTGGGATAAGACCTCTTTTATTATAGCTTAGCATAGCTGTTTGGGAATTTTAGGTTAATGATATGAGACTATTATTCTTCAATGGAGATAAACTTAGAAGATCTTTGTTCACATTCCTCTGTATACTTTAATCTCAGCAGAGATGGACCATTATCTGGGCCCAACTTCACTAGAAACTATGTCTCCAAATGTACTTGCTTTCAGAGATTCTCTCCTATTTGTCCCTTCTGCAGGTCTCTAAAAATAACAAAGCTTGGTACAGAGCTTTACGCTTTTACCAGGTGGTATCTCACTGAGGCCCAAAACAACATTTCAAAATTTTTAGGAGGGGTTTTACCCATTTGATGGAAGGAAGACATTATGAGAGGCTAAGTGAATTGCTCATCACACAGCCAATACCAACAGCCTGGAATTTGAAACCAAAACAAAATACGTTATCTTACTGTAGACTTGCCACACTTGTGCTAAAGAGGGATACTTGATAGTTATCATTCTCTAGAAACAAAAGCCTCATTATTTACCAAAGAGACCTACCTAATATGTTCCAGCCAGAAGAAATTCCCAGAATTTCTGAAAGGTTACTCCAAGGACAAAATACCTGTATGCCTCGCTTGTCCAGGGATCTGCTCTTACAAATTAGAAGTAGTCCTATTAGCCCAGAGGCAATGTCCCTTATGATGTCTACATCACTGTAGTATGGTCTTGTTAAGCACTGGGCATCATTTTCTGTGGGTTCATCAAACTCCAGGATGTTCCATTTATAAGTATAGGTTTCCCCTGGTTTTACTGCTCTGATCATGGTGTTACTGCCTGAAAGAAAATATGTTCAAAATTGTTTTCATTTGGAAAATTATTTCATTATAATAAATAAATAATTGAGCTCTCAGAACCAATTAATGTTGCAAAAGTAATAATTCTTTTTATATTAAACTCTTCTTGGACCCATGATAGCATGTAGCCATTAGATATTGCTCCACTAGAGGCCGCTATGACACTAATAAAAGACACCATATTTTGTAACTACTAACAGATAAGATCCCTGAAGTGAAAAGGGTTTGGCTGTGATTTTTAGGGTACCCTTTACATGTATAGTACCTGACTACTCTAATCATACCACTGGGCAAAGAGGACAGTAGAAAAATATGGCAGCCTCTTAGAGTTCACTCGTTCGATTCAGTAGAAGTGAGAGATTCAAACCTGAGGTGGAGGAAGAGTTGACTCCATCTTCGTAAGGAGAGAAGGTCACTCCATGAGGGTAAATGCTATAGGGACGGCTGGCCATATTTTTGAATGTGATCTGCAAAGTCACATCAAGTTTATTTTAGGATTTAAGGTCGATCATTAGAACTAAAATAGGATGCTAGCTTTGCACATTAACCTTTTGGATGGTGTGTGTGTGTGTGTGTGTGTGTGTGTGTGTGTGTGTGTGTGTTCGCGCACATACACACAGTGGGAAAATTAGTTCTGTTTGTTTGAGCAGCAACATCCCTGCATTACCTGAAAGGAACACTTCCCAGAGCGTTTCACTCGCACATTAAGGTGGAGAATGGAAACAGAAATCTGACCTTAGAGGACAGGTAGGAGAAATGGCATTTTCCTCACAGTATCACCCTCCCAACGTGGTCCCCATGCCCCCTCCACCCTCCTTCAGCTTGGACCACATCCCACTTTGAATCTGCTCTTTCTCATCTCTAGACCACGATCCCCTTCTCCTGCCCACCAGATCTCCCAGGACACTGACTTTAAAGCCATGTTCTTGAGGGGCACACATAAGTAGCCAGATCCTAAATTCCCAGTAAGGTAGGTTTATATTTGCTAAGAGCGCCTACAAGGGATCAAAAGTGGGTGAAAGGAAAGAGGCCCAGAGAGAGGCTGCTTTTATCCTTTTGTTATTTTTCAATGAATAGAATAGGCCTGGTCAGGGGCATTATTCACATAGGAGTCCTAGTTAGGCTCTTTAATCTTCAAAAGAGAACCTTAACCTTATCTTCTACTTGGTTGATTGTCAAAGAATTTGAATCCTCCTTAATCTGTAGACTATCTGCATTCTAGGAGCTTGCCAAAGATGGTAACCATCAATTCTCTACTGTCCAGCTATTATCTATCTTGGAGATGTGACATAATATTTCAGGAGAATTGTCTGAGGAAAACTCCATGCTCTTGATACATACCTAAGTTTACCTTCACAGAGACAGATCATGAGAGAGCTGCAAAGCTAGACCACATTAAAGAATGATTTTTGCTCCACTGTGTTTACTGATACGGTCTCAGCTACAATGAGAAATATTATTTTAAAAAACTATGCAACTTTTTATCTGTTATACGAGTTACAGGAATTTGTCAAGGACGCCATCCACTGCACACGCAGCACCCTCTTTTGAGGGATCCATGGAAGAAATTCCTCTTCGGTCTCAGTACCAGGGGAAAGTGTGCTTCCTTGATGGATGCTGTAAATCTTACCCTGAAATATTTCCTTTTTTACTTTGGCTGCTGTAAAGCTTAGGACAAAATTTGCAGACAGCCTCGTAGGATCATATGGTCTGTATTTTATTACACTTACCTATGGCTTTATTTTCTGTGTTCCCACATTATCCCTCACCCTAGTTATTAATATATCAACTATTTGTTTATTCTTTTATAATTTGATAAACTGTCTCAGATACTGAGTAATATTGAGTAGGCTATAAATAAGTGCAAATACTAAATATAAACTAAAAGCTGCATTTGAATTTTAAATTACATGAACATCTTTTTCTTTTAAAAAAT